GGTTAATTGGTGCTTGCCAGAAGAAAAGGGAAAGTTAGAAAATAGAGGGTGCATACAAAGGAGAATGTGGCAGATGAGCCCAGAACAAAAGACTTAAATGGGAAAGAGAAGACAAGGGACTATAGAGATGATCTGTCTTAGGAGTACACCAGCCTCTCTCAGCTCTTCATTTTGGCCAGTGTCTGGTAGAAACAAGGACTGCAGGTCCATTGCCTTTATAGATGTCTGAATTTCCTGTGTTAGGAAAATTCAGTGACGTTTTGTAGGATATAGCAACTTAAAACTGATTTATCAAAGTGACTTCTTGCTTCTTTCTGATCTCTGCAGCACTTGAAATACAGTGAGGGCAATACTGGGCAATATCAAGCATGATAAGGGAACTAAATACACAACTTCCAGAATGCATTGGCTTCCACATACAACAGGTGTGAGGCTTCAGCTGATGTAGCTTTCCAGCAACTCTAATAGATTAACATAATTCCATCTTTGGATTTGTACTAGCTCTGTCTTTTGTATGGAGAATGATATGTGTGAAAGAAATCAGTTTTAAAGTGATTATTTGCTTTCCTTCTGGCATTTTGGCTAATGCTTTCTTCTTGTTCTTTCAATTCCCCTTTAACTTTTTTTGAGAAATTTCATTATAGCCAAATAATGCAATTGGCAGAACACGCTGGGCACCTTACTGTAAAAGAGTGTAATTTTTGAAAGAGAATGTCCATTTTCTTCCTGAATAACTTTTCAAAAAGGTCAATATTTAGAGTAACACTTGAAGAGTATTCCCTAGTCTGCCATTGTAGCAGCTACATTTTATTTTATTTCAATTGTGACACGCTGATGTTTGGCATTTGTAGGATTCAAGGGATAATCTTATTCAAGGAATTATGGCCTTAAAGAATCATCTGACTTTTTTGCATTGTTACTGACAAGGAATGTGTTAGTGATATTCATTGCTACTATTCCAGTACTGCAGATTAAATGTCATTAGTGGGTTTTTTGTTGTTGTTTTTTTAAGGCAGAAAACATTGGTAAGTGGATTTTCCTACTTGCATTCGTATCATATCTTATTTCAGTAGGAACACTCAATTCTTGCTGGATGATATTTTTGCCTGTTCTTAGGTTTCTGTATTCCTGAACTGTCTTGAGGTATGTTGGAAGGACACTGTGGTAATAGGAGAGTTGCAATTAAATTCTTACTCCTTTCATGGCTGTTGTTAATAGAGCTGAATTTAACACTCCTGTTTTAACACTTTTTTAACATCATCTAAAATATGTGATAAAACATGGCATGAAATGAAGATTCAGGGATGGGGTGACTGTCTGTAACTTGGTTTCTTTGTCTCAGAACTGCAATATAATGGCCCTGGGCACTGATGTGTTAGACTGTATGACTTGAATAAAGGTCTCGTAAACTTCTCCTTAAAGGTATGAAAAAAGGGGAAGGAATAACCCCTCATTTTTCTGCCTTTTCTGTTTTTCTTCAGCAAAGGAAAGGTATAGAGCTTGAAGAGCATCCAGCTGAGCATGAGTTATAAATGACTAGGCTTTTTTATTGCACAAGCAGGTTGAAATGCTTAAGATTTGTTTGTTTGTTTGTTTTTTCTTAGACCCTGCTTATTTCAAGTGCTTATTTAATGTTTTTGAACCTGGGGTGTTGTTTTCTTGAACGGTCTTGCATTCCCTATTAACTTCTGGGTTTTGTTGGTATTGCAATAGGATCTATAATTTTTGCTGCTTGTAGAGACTCTATGGTAGAGGTAAACTAAGTCTGATCTGTGAGTGCTTCTCTAAATGTCCCTTTACTATGGCTTCTCTCCCCCAAATGCTGCACTGCTGCCTACCTTTTTCTTGTTTCTTTACTTCTGCCAATAATTTCTTCCCTCCCCAGCGTGCTTCATCTGATTGTGTTGGCCAATATATATCTTAAACCAGAAGTGCAGTATTGTCTGGCTGCCATGGACTCTAGCTGTATGAAGAAATCTTGTACACATCTTCGGATTTCTAGGAAACATAATTTCCACTGACTTCTGTAGCCTGATGCATGTACCTTAGGTGGGATCCGGGCTGTGTTAGGAGCTTAAATTGAAAGGGCAATAATGCGCATGATTACACTCATGTATATAGCCTGTTCAGTAATATTAGAAGTAAAGATATTTAATTTTTTCCACTGTTTTCCTTTGTTTTTGAGGACTTTTAATTTTGAATCCTGAAATGCTACCATTGGATTTCCAAGAAGGACTAAGAGAATACTGGTGCATCTGGGGAATCTTTTTCACCATTCTTTTGAGTGACTCCAACTTTTGCCAGTAGCTGGTTGTCTGTATTTCTTTCCTTTACCTTTTTTTTTGTTACATTTGTTTTTTTAAGCCTCTTAAGAGGACTGAAATCATGTATTAGACCTTCTGACCTATTCTTGAGTCATTGAATTATAAGTATCTTTTCATATTGCATCAAACACAATGCAGAACAGTACAACTCCTGAAGAACAGCAACATTTTGGTCTTACTGAATTACCATTTGAAATGTAGTGATCATGAGTTGGTCATGACTGTACCATGAGAAACCAAATCTGGTCTTTAGACAGCAGTTCCTTTATTAAAGTTTACTGCTTTTGTGATGAGCATTCTGAGTTTTATCCCAGATGTCTAATAGTATACAGCGTTTTACCCAGTGTTGAAGAAAGGCATAATCCAGCCTGTTTAATAAGATGAATACTTATTTCATCACAATAAGAGAAACTTCAGAGTGTTTTGAAAAGTACTGTTATTTAAAAGAGGCCATGGGTAACAAACCAGGAATTTCCCTGACTAGTTCTAAGTGCAATCAGAGCAAAACAGTAATGGCATTCTGTGCTGCACATGATACTCCTGTTAGCCAAGGTGTTTTGAATTCCACTCCTTCGTTTGTTTGTAGTCTGCCAGCTGTCTTCTTTCATGTGTATTTGCATTCTCATGGCAGACTTTTTATTAAAAAAAAAACACCACCACCAAAGCAAACCCAAAGCAAATAGTAAACCTTTGCTTTTGGTAGTAACAAAGTGGTCTTATATGTGTTTCTTCTATCAAAGCTTTAATTTTACCTTTCTTATGTTTATATGGCAAGAGAGCAGAGACTTCATTTTTGGAGCCCAAATCACTAAATATTTTTTCTAAAGCTCAGGAATCCTGTTTATTTTAAATATAGAATTACAGTATTATAATAAAACACAACAAGAATGGAGTTGAACTATTGAACTGTTGATTTTAGTCTGCAGTGGGTTCCAGTAGGAAATGCATAAGCAGTTAAATGTATTATAGCTACATAAAGTAATATTAAGGAGGCTGCTTCTCAGTTGTTTGTTAATGAAAGTACCAAGGATATTCAAAATAAGCTGTTGGTCTGTGTTAGAGGATTGCAGTATCCAGGAAAAGCGAGAGCTGTTTGTGGTTTTGGAGAGGGGAAGTTACTTATCTGTCCTACAAAATAAGGTATTGTTTTTTAAAAAAATATGAGATTTTTGGTATTCTAAAATACATTAGGATTTGCTGTGAAGGCTCCTCTACCATTTCCTTAACAGTTTTTGGACCAAAACTACTTGCACATGAATCTGCCAAGACTCTAAAGCACCAGCACCTCTAATATCAAGAAATCTGTATAGCGTACTAGCTCTACCCGTCATTTTAGTAAAGAGATTACTGAAACTCTTCAAGGTAAATTACAGTCAAATATATCATAAAAGTATTGCAGCAGTGGGATTTCATTTCAAGATAAAAACCTGAAAAAAAAAAACCCTTTTGAATGCTTTTTTGCATTTGCTTTAGAGGTATGCATTGAATGTTTAGGGTATCAGTGACACATAATTTTAAAGTCATGTAGAGCAACCAAAGCAGGAAATGGAGAAATGCTTTCTTAAGTACTTTAAAAAGTTAATCTTTACAACCATGACTTGTGGAGTCTTGATTTAGACAAAATGTCATGGGGTTCGTTTCTCATAAAGCTGAAAGATTGATAAAGCCTAATGCAATATATATATACTTACATATATATGTTTTCTATGAGTTAATGAAGCTTAGTGAAACCTACTGTCATTTGCATTTGTGTCCTGTGACCCCCATACTTTTCTTGGTTTCTATTCAATATCTCTTGCTGCTATTGCTGTAAGCCTTCTTACCTACCATGTCCTCTGTCACCTTGCATCACCTTCAGCTCCTCCAGTTCCTGTCTACTGACTTCATCCCTTCTAAATATTGTCCAGGTGAGACTTAGCCAGTTTGTGTAGGTTTCCACTATTAAGATCTTGTAAGATACCACTGACTCTCAAGCATGTCTTCGTAAGAAATCTGGTATTTTCATAGTTTAAATGTGGCACAATTAATTAAAATGTAGCAATTAACAAAAAACCTTTGGATCATTCAGCCTTGTGTCTGGTAATGTGATAATTGTGTTCATTACCCATATGTAGCAACAGGTACATTGAAGAAAGACTAAATACTGAAGACAAAGAATGTTTTCTTCACAAAATGGCTTAGTTTTGTTCACTTGGTAAGAGTAGCTGTTGGCCTGTTTTTATAGAATATGAATGAGGTGAAGAGTCAGGGTCTAGTTCTTTCACAAGAGATGATTTAATGGATAGTGATAATCGTAATAGAAGAGAAGGAGGGGGGGAAGACTGGAGTAAAATATACGATTATCTATGATTTAAAAAATGGTGCATCTGTTTAAAGCTGAAGCTATGCCAAGATAATATTGATATGTCTAGCCCTTAACTTGATATGGAACATAGTAATTACTTTTCTCACTGCTGTCAGACATCTGTATTTTAATACATATGCTGTCTGAGATTGTGTATGACTGCTCTCAGGAGAGATACCTGATGACTGCATATGCTACAGATGCCATATGGAAGGAAGCAGTCCTACTGCTTACGTATTTCATGCTTGTCTCAGTAAAGGATACTGCAAAGAGCTAATTATTTTTTCTTGCTTATTTTCTTATCCACGTAATTTTTCTGTGTATCTTTTCAGCTCATGGATAAAACTGACAGGGAGTACTACACTCTGGATGACATGTTTGTTTCCAAAGCAGCCAAAAGAGTGCGCAGTGGGGAAGAGGAAGAAATACAACGAAGAAAAGCAATACGTGAGCACCAGCAGCTTGCTGCACGCATGGAAAAATGCCCATACTGCTACGATAGTAGTGAACTTTCTAAACATCTTATTGTTGCAATTGGCACAAAGGTAAGAAAATAGCAATTTAGCACAAATGTAAAAATAAAAAAGAAATAAAGAAAGGCAGTGTTGGTGCTGGAGTGCCTAAGATTAAGAATGAAATGATTTATTTTTCTTCACCTTATTTTCCTTGCCCTTCCAGTTGATTTCACAAATTCCTCAAGGGTGAGGGAGAAAAAGATATAAATCTGTCATGAATTTTAAAGGTAATCTTTGATACCAGAACTTCACACTTGTGGTCTGTGGATAAGAATAAGAATTGCATAAGAATTTGGATTTATAACATCTGAAATGATTCAGTGTAGGTTTTTTTGTCTTTGTTTCTCCAAAGTTTTCCTTTATCATTGATGTTTTTCATTTGGCTTTTTATAGGCAAAGAAATTGACTGCATAGATACATATTATAATGTACTGCATTTGTATTTTTATATAGATAGATATGTATAATGTGCATAGATGTATATCTGTCTCTATGTATGTGTATAATTATAGAACCAACTAGGTTGGAAAAGACCTTGAAGATCATCAAGTCCAACCTTTACCCCAGGACTGCCAATTCTACCACTAATCTGTGTATTTATATGTGTTTATATATCTAATAGATAGATAGATTGATAGAGTGTCCTGATTTTGGCTGTGATAGAGTTAATTTTCTTCTTAGTGACTGGTTCAGTGCTGTGGTTTGGATTTAGGGTGAGAATTATGTTGATAATACACCAGTGTTTTAGCTGTTGCTAAGCAGTGATCAGGCATGCTTCAGCTTCTCACACTGCCCTGCCAGGCAGGCTGCAGGAGCAGAAGAACTTGGGAGTGAGCACAGCTAGGACAGCTGACCTCCAGTGCCCAAAGGGATATCCCATATTATATGACATCATGCTCAGTATAAAATCTATGGGAGAACTGGCCAAGGGCTGGGAGTTGGCTGGGCATCGGTCAGCAGGTGGTGAACAGTTGCATTGTACGTCGCTTGTTTTGTGTATTCTAATACTATTATTATCATCATCATCAATTTGTATTCCCTTTCTTTTCTGTACCATCAAACTGACTTTATTTCATCCCAAAAATTTTACTTTTTTCTAGGTTTTATCCCCTATCTCTCTGGTTGTGGGGGAGAGCGCATAAATGGTAGCTGTGTGATGTTCAGCTGCCTGCCAGGTTAAACCACAACACAGAGCTCTATCTGTGTGTATGTATTTCACTAAAAATACATTGGATGTACATCTAAATTCAGAAATTATTGTAGTGGATTAAACAGTATGATTTCATAATAGTTAGGTTACCAGTTGGTCTATGAGGCTGATATTACTGTCTTGATGTTGCCTCTCAATACTACTAGTTCACTGGAGCTACTGATGGATAATGGGATCTTTTTAAAAGCACTGAAATTACTAATACCATGTTATAATTAGAAGGTATTAACTTCTATTGGTTTGAATTTAGCAAATGATGTACCTCAGCAATGGGAAGGTTTTTATGCTAGAGAAATGAGCACTTCGTTTTTGTTCACTTTTCATAGGTATACTTGTCTCTACCAAGCAACCAGTCCCTTACTGAAGGTCACTGCCTGATAGCCCCTCTACAGCACCATACTGCAGCCACTCTTTTGGATGAAGACATCTGGGAAGAAATCCAGGTGAGCTCAGAAACTGTCTCATGTTCTAACAGTTTTGTAAAATAATATTATTTTAAATAATAGTAGACTTGTCATGAGTATCTATTTTAATAATTTCCAGCCTGGCAGCTCTTCTCGAATTCCACTCTTCTCAAATTCCGTTCTTGCATTATGGATGGATATTAGCGGACAAATCCTGAAAAGGGAAGATACAGGGTAAACACAGAAGTTCCCATTTATAAACACTATATAAAGTTGCCTGGAATGCTGCAGAACCTCTGTCACTGGAGGCCTTTGAAACCAGGTTAGCGGAATATTTACCAGAGATGATGTAGATAGAGCTGTTCCCTTACAGAAAGTGGAATAACTGGCTTCACAGTTAAGATTTCCTTGGGAAAAGAAAAGGATTGTCAGGACAGAAAGGTCCTTATAATGAAATACAAGCTGGAGGTCTGTTGTTTATGTAGCTTCAGGTTTTTTAAGCTAATCTTGGGTTTAGCTGGATGTCAGTTGAGGAAAAAACTCTCATTCCTCTTCAAATCAGTGAGATTGTCCTAACATTTTTGAAAGGAAATATTAGAATGAAGTGCTAAGAATGATGGGTCATGCTTTCCAACTGTCCTATGAAGGCAGTTTGAAATTATTGAGGAAAATCAGGGGAGGAATGTAACAAACTTCTGCCTAGGAAATCGTGATTGTCAATCTTCTTTGCCCCCAGTCAGAATTATTGCAAGGGGAAAACAACTTGCAACCTTTTATATCAAAATATTGGAGACTATTTCAGACTACAGAAAGACGTTGTTGGTTGCAGTTGCTTGTATTTAAAAAACAGAGTAATTCATGAGTTTGAAATTATTTAAGTAACATTGGTCTTGCCTCAGGACTGGCAGATGGATTCTCTGACTTTCCAGATTTGTTGCCTACATTAATTCTCATGGCAGATGTAATTTTTATCCACTGTTTCCTAGTAAATTATGCTTCACCTAAGCAGGAGGGGAAAGGAGTTCTTTTGTATATGACAGAAATGCCTAAGAAAGTTGGGTAAGAAGCAAGTTAAGTTCAACAAGTGGGATCAAGAGGAGCAACAGAGCATGGGAAAAAGTGATAAATATGTTTCTTCTACATCTTCTATTTATCCCAACTTCTTTTAAGTAAATAAATGATAATTTTTGTAAATCTATATGAGAAGGAAAATAGCATAAAGAAAAGATAAGCAAATGCAGTTTCTGTATTCAGCACTAGTCTTTTCCTTGCTAAAAAGTGTAGCTGGTTGGTACAACCAGTATCCATTGACGCTGTGGCAGTTTAAGCATTTCTTTGAAACAAAATAATTTGGAAGCTGATGGACACAATTTATTTTTTTTTTCTTATTTCAGTAAGAGGAGTCTGGAAGGCTTTAGCATTCAGGAAGACTATGAGCGTGCAGTTATTCAGTGACAAAACTAATGTTCTGATGCCAGAGCCATATTTGATGCTGCTGTTGAACGGAAAAAATTATCGCACTTCAAATATAAAATGTTGTATTGAGCAGATCTTTCAGCTAACTTTTTTTGCTGGGATTTTTTTTAAGATAGGTTGGAATAAAGCAAGAAGGGTTCCTTTATATTGTGTGCCTTCAAGCGCTTGAATGTAGCATTTGTGTGTTTTAGACTTGGGTCACTTGCCAAAGTAAATGTGCATGTAAATTTTTAATATGAAAAGATAAATCTTTGCATATCCTGTTTTGACTGAACTGTTACGTGTATCAATGTGTGCATCTGAGCATGATCCAAACATTCATATTTGCTCCTATGAATGATTTTGTCGTTTCCATTGCTAATTATCCTTGATGTTTTGGTCCACTCAGAATTTGGAGGAGAGTGCCATTTATTTAAAAACAACAAAATGCAATCTGGGAAACGTTAGCTAACATCTGCAGGTGGCTTTGAATTTCAGTTGATATTGCAGGGTAGAAACTGTCTTTCCCAACCTTTGGTTTAATATTTCTCTTATCTTACCACAGTTGTTTGCTTCCTTGTACTTCAGATGTAGAGTTCTGGGGGGCAGGTTTGAGGGGCTCCAGAGCTATTAATTCAGAGTTGCCTGTCACTCTGCACAGTTAAGTCCTATATTAGTTGGGGTACGGTGATCTATTAACTAGGCAGTATCTTCCAGCTGTGTTTCATCAGTTGTGTTAGGGGGATGGTGGCAGTGTTTTCTTGTCAGAGCATGGAGCACCTTATTTGAGAGGAAAAATTCATGGCACAAGGGCTTTGGAAAGCTTAAATGACCTCTCTGCTGTGAAGAGAGACTGAGAGGGGTTGTTCAGCCTGGAGAAGGCTTCAGAGAGATCTTAGGACAACCTTGCAGTACCTAAGGGGAGCTTTTACAAAGGCATGTAGCGATAGGACAAAGGGGTGTCGTGGTTTAAACCCAGTCAGCCACACAGTTTCTACTCCACCCCCCCCCCCCCCCCCCCCCCCAGCTCCCGGAAGGATGGGGAGGAGAATCAAAAGAATGTAACAAACTCCCACGGGTTGAGATAAGAACAGTTTAGTAACTAAGGTATAACACAAATCACTACTGCTACCATCAATAATAATAATGATAAGGAAAATAACAAGGGAAGAGAATACGATACCACCTGCCGAAACGAGCCTGCCCAAGAGTGCCCTTCCGGGTAACTCCCAGTTACCTCCCTGGGCATGATGTGCTGTGGTGTGGAATACCTCTTTGGCTAGTTTGGGTCAGGTGTCCTGTCTCTGCTTCCTCCCAGCTTCCCCTCCTCTCTGGAAGAGCATGAGACTCACAAAGTCCTATGGCCAGTCTAAACATTTGAGCAGTAACTAAAAACATCGGTGTTATCAGCTTTGTTCCCAGGCCAAAAGTCAAAAAGCACTGCACCAGCTACTAAGAAGGAGAGAAAATGACTGCTACTGCTGAAACCAGGACAGGGGGAATGGCGTAAGACTAGCAGAGGGTATATTTAGATACTACCAAATTTTTTACTGTGAAGTTTCCCAGGGAAGCTGTGGCTGCCCTGTCTCTAGCGGTGTTCAAGGCCAGGTTGGACAGGGCTTTGAATAACCTGCTCTAATGGAAGGTGTCCCTGCCCATGACAGAAGGGATAGAACTAGATGATCTTTACGGTCGCTCCCAACCCAAGCCATTCTCTGAGTCTATGAATTAATATAAAATATTATACCTGAAAGCTTTGAAAAGTTAATTCAAATTATTTTTTTTTCTTTAAACAGATGTTCCGAAATGCATTGGTGAAGATGTTTGAAGCTAAAGACTTGGACTGTGTCTTCCTAGAAACAAACCTGAGTCTGAAGAAACGGTATCACATGGTATATGAATGCATTCCTCTTCCAAAAGAAGTTGGAGATATGGCTCCAATCTACTTCAAGGTATGTGAAAACATTTTTTTCTTAGGTCATTTGAATGTATGTATCATAATTCATCTATTTCTGGAAAACTTTTTGATATTCAAATACTTTTTTTGAAAAGATAGACCCTTTCATCCTATTTCTTGATCCATTCTTTGATCATAGTCCTTGATCTTAAAACAAGCCCTGTGAGGTGATTCTGTTTCCCAAGTTTTTCACTTATTCAGTGGAAGAGCTGTATGTCACTGTGCAGTTGTCTCCAGTCTGACTGCACTGACAAATAGGTGAGGAAGATGAGAGGATTGTAGTTTCTTGAGGTGCTGTAAGCTTTGCAGTACTTCTCACTTAAGTCCTGTAGTATAAACTAAAACCACCATACATGTGCCTAGGCAAGCATAAAATGAGAAAATGATGTCAACTGTTTTAAGAAATACCAATATATAATGTTCCACCCTCATTTTATTTCAGTAAGCCCACATGTTACACCTGTCTTAGGTCTCCAGTGACATTAAACATCATGGTAGATATCTTCTCTAAAGCTTTTCTGATCTCTTGCCCCTGACTGTAGGGAATATTGTGTCCAGTTCTGGGCCCCTCAGTTTAAGAAGGACAGGGACCTGCTGGAGAGAGTCCAGTGCAGGGCAACTAAGATGATTAAGGGAGTGGAGCATCTCCCTTATGAGGAAAGACTAAGGGAGCTGGGTCTCTGTAGTTTGGAAGAGACTGAAGGGTGACCTTATTAGTGTATATAAATATATAAGGGGGGAGTGTCATGAGGATGGAGCCAGGCTCTTCTCAGTGGCAAACAATGATAGGACAAGGGGCAATGGGTACAAACTGGAACACAAGAGGTTCCACTTAAACTTGAGAAGAAACTTCTTCTCAGTGAGGGTGACAGAACACTGGAACAGGCTGCCCAGGGAGGTTGTGGAGTCTCCTTCTCTGGAGACATTCAAAACCTGCCTGAACACATTCCTGTGTAAACTTATCTAGGTGTTCCTGCTCCAGCAGGCGGATTGAACTAGATGATCTTCTGAGGTCCCGTCCAATCTCTTGCATACTGTGAAAGGTTACATGAAAGCTTTTGCCTGGTATTGAGGCCTTTTGGCTTTAAGTAACTGGATCCTGATTTGCCTTTTATAAGTAAATTATTTTACTGGTTCTTTGAAATATTATTTTTGTTTTCTGGAAATGATGTGATTGGATTTTGATGAAGCGGAGGAGTCAGTATGAACAGCAGTGTAGTAACTTTTACCGTATTTGAAACTCTCCAGCTGGTAGATGTCATTGCTATGCTTCAAGCACTGGTAAAACTCTTGTTTAGCTAAAGGAAGGACAAAGTAGAAGACTTAATGCAATGCCATTTGCATAAAACTTTATTTCAGAAGTGTCCATTATTAAAATACACAGAAAATGAAATTTAAAAGATACCTACACTAAACCCACTTCCCATACTACGGAGACTACAGAGGCAGACTTTGAAGGTTTTTAAGTGCAGCCTTCTAAGCTGGATTCTCCTTTTGGTATTTAAAAAAGGAAAATAAAAAAGACTAATCTTGTGTAATGAATTCACAGGAGGATTTGTATGAGCTTAGAAAAAAGAGAATGTGACCTTTTAGTTGGAACTTTTTGGAAATATTTTATGTCAGGCAAAAGTTAATTTTCAGAAAAAAAAGTAAAAGCAGAATTAAGTGAGTTTGAAGATATTATATGATGCCTTTTTAAGTAAGTTGTGGAAATTTGAAAGGTTTCCAGAAATAAAGTTACTTTGTTAAGAAATAATTGGTACTTGCAGTGCAAAGGACTTGACTACATTAAGAAGTTAGTTCTTTGCTTGCTGTATGAAGGACTATTTTCACATCTAGATAAAATGATTTTACAGAAAGCTATAATGGAATCTGATGAAGAGTGGTCCATGAACAAGAAGTTAATTGATCTTTCTTCAAAAGACATTCGGAAATCTGTAAGTAAAGAAATGTATTGAACATTGAATTTCTCAGCAAATTCTTTTAATATTTTAATCTTTTTTCATTGTTAACTGTTTCAAAAAGAGAGGAAGAGGAACACAATTAGATTAGTGCATCAGGAGATAGCATAGGTATGATGAGTATGAAGAGTCTGACTGAACTCCTAACTGACATTAGGGAAAATAATCCCATTTATTTCAACAATTGATGAACTGAGCTGCAAGCATTGGTTAAGAACAAGGCTGGCACTTTGAGGACTTGTACCAGCATAATTTTCTTGATTAAGAATTAAGGTAGATCAAAGATCTGCAAATTACTTTCCTGGAAAAAACCCACATTGATGTGTCTTTTTCATTGACCTGAAACAGCCTTTTTTGTTGCTAAGTCTAAGCAGCAAAAATATAAATAGCATTATAAGTCTTTTCTTTCTAAAACAAGAGAACAGAGCTCTGTCTCCTGGATACTAAACTGAAACATCTGTGTATATTCAAATGTTAAAGGTCTAGTGCTGAAACTGTTCCGTATTTTTAACACTAAAGTGAAAGATGTGTGGTACGTATGCTTTACCACAAATAGTTTACTACTATGTAGCAATAAAACTTTATTTCTGAAAGAGTCTTTTAGTAAATACAGCACCTTTGTACTAAGAAATCCTAGCTTAGAAGAAAGAGGAGATGGGTTTAATTATGAGACACGAAGCTTGATATGACAAAGAGGGAGACTAGATGCTAAAGAGTAAGGGATTGGGTGGCTGTATAGTATTATTACTACATAGTGGCTGTATAGCAGGAGAGATTTTCTATACTGTGATGAGTCTGGAACTAAACTGACAATGGTAGCAAATGTAGCAAAAAGACAATTTCTTCTGCCACATAAGCTGAATGTCATATAAATGTAATGGGTGTCAGTTATGGGTCACCTTATTCAAAGTGGTGAGGCTTCAGCTGGAAAATTCAGGTGTGATTTTGGGCACAGTATTTTAAGACTGTTACAGGAGAGTAGAGGTTAGAAAACTGAACTAAAGAAGCTGGTTTAGGGGTTAGTACAGACTAGGAAAGAAAAGACTGAAATGGGATGTGATAGCTTTCTGTATATAGGAGATTGTTTTAAAGAAGATAGTACGTAGTTGATCTCTAGCACTATTGGGTGCAGACAACAAGGAATTGAGTTAATTTGTAGCAAGGACTTAGGGAACACTTTAAACTTAAGGTGAATGTAAACATAAAATAGTAAGGTTTGGGTATCTTTTTCTCATTGGTGTTTCAGAACAGGGAAAGCCAACATCTGTCACAAAATAAGGTATAATTTTTTGACACATGGTAGGGCATCAAGACATTTGATTTCTAGAAGTTTCTTAGCTATACATAATGTGACTACTGTATTGCCATTTGGTGGTAAACCACATGAAGATTAAGGTACGACAGTTTCTTTAAATTGCATCTTTAAATGCATCTGAGTGTAAATTGTTATACATTTGTGTGATTTTAACATTATTTTAGGGTAAAAGAAATCCCTGTAGCCTTCAGGAAGATATGAGTATAGCTTAAGAGACGGAGGTAAGGTTTGGGAAGTTTGAATAGTTGTATTAGGATATAGAGGTGCATAGAGGAAGGGTCAGACATGGCTGAGATGTCATCTAATGGGTGGATTGTGTGCAGAAATTGAGACTGGTGTCCAGAAGCAGAGCCTAAACATTCAGCCCTTGCACAACATCAAGTCCTTCTGCTTCTCCTTCTCTTCCCTGCAGCAAGGGAACTGGGCAATGGGCTGGGAGAGGGGACACAGCCAGGAGAGCTGATCTGGAAGCAAGCATTGTTCTGTGGCAGCCACAACACTGGCAAGTTGTCAACACTGGTTTAGTCACCAGTCCAAATCTCAGCGCCATATGGGCTGCTATGACGAAAATGAACTATCCCAGCCAGACCTGACACTGCTAGACACAGATAAAGCTGACATATTTCTTAAGGTGTCAGCTGCTGACCCATTTTTCCTTATTTATGATTCTTTTTTAGTTCATTTAAAGTGTTTTATGTTTCTTGCCTTGCTACATCGCCCCTCTGTGTTAAATCTGAATTATTTTTAGAGTGAATTTTCAAGCAGTAGATGGAACATGTCTTGTGAAAATTGGACTGTAGCAGAGGAAATGGTTATGAATTTGTGACTTTGTAAATCTTATCAGGAACATCCTTAACAATTAAAAGAGTGGAAAATAATGTTGCAGTGAAAAGCAGAAATGACTTAAAATATGTAGCAATAAACGAATCCGCTTCTCACTCTGTCAGACTGAAGGGTCTTTTGTTGTGGCAGGATAACCAGCATCTCCTCTGTAGGCCTACTGAATTATTGAATTATCCTATTTGGCAAGTTAATGATAACTTCCAGTCATGTAGTGGTGTTTTCCCTTCCCTGAGTGTCAGTGCTTCCCCTGGCTAAACATTTCCTCTTATCACGGAACACTTATCTTTAATAAATGCGACTTGCTGGTGGTTGTCTTAAAATTTCTATTCAACCCATTCATCATACAAGTGTGAAGTCAGGAAGGCATTTACTCAGTGCGCATGCTGCTGTCCAGTCCTTCTCTGTCTCTTACCTGGTGCTGCAGTGGTGGCCTCTGGAGATTCTGCCACCTTGTCATCATCTCACTTTAGAGTGTCTTTTCATCTAGTTTCTGTGTGTCCTTTCCCCTTACCGGCTTGGTTTTTGCTTATCTCTTGCAATTTTATACTACATGTCCTTCATTTGAAAGATGTTTTAAAAGAAAATGTGATACTGTAAAACCACTTTCAAATTCATTAAGTTGTGGGTGTTAACTAAATATCTGCAGTCTTCAAACGTCTAAAAATGTGTTTTCGCATGTATAGGTTCCTAAAGGCTTACCATACTTCTCTGTGGACTTTGGTCTTCAAGGAGGATTTGCTCATGTCATTGAAGATCAACATAGTTTCCCTCATTACTTTGGAAAGGTATTGTCATGTAGAAGATCAATTTACCAATTATACTCTGTTTTGTTTACTTTAGTTAAAGCAGATGCTGCCAGAACAGTCACTTTGATATATCTTATCCTGGTTCATTAGCTGGCTTTTCTTGTTAAGTCATTATAACTTTGCTCATTGATGAGTAAAGGAGTGATCTGATAAATGGAAAATACTTGCATCTGTTTAAGAGTTTTCGTGGCCATAGTGTTCTCATGTCCTAGCTCCTGCTTGTCTGAATTAGGGTGCCTACACACATACACTCATGGACAAGTCCTAGTAAACTATTTGTGTGGTTAAATTACTCCATGTGGTATAGAGAGTATAGTATATACAAGAAGAGCTGCAATAAATTCTTCCTTTATTATGTCACAGCTATAATTTATTGACAGAATTAATATTGCAAAAACATGAAGAGTGATTGCGAGAAAATATAACTTCAGGAGTTAAGAGCAAAGTGGGCAGCTTTTTTCTGAACTTTTCTTACAACTGTACTAATACCTTAGCAGTCTTGCAATGTTAGGATATTTATTCAGTGCATTGCTCTGCTCTACTTACAAAAATTTTGCTGAGGCAACTATCTAACAATTGCAGTCCTAATATTTTAATAGGTACTTTTTCAGAATTTCAATTTATAATGACCCACACATGAAGAAAACAATGAAAAATAATCTCACATTTTGAAAACTCTTATTTCTTTACTCAATGGTAAATTAGTATTAAGTAATATGATAATTTTGTATTTATAATTCTCTTTCTTCTACTTGTGAAGGAAATTATTGGCGGCATGTTGGACTTGGAGCCACGGCTCTGGAGAAAAGGAGTCAGACAGAACTTTGAGGATCAGAGCAAGAAGGTGTTGCAGTTTGCACAGTGGTGGAAACCATATGACTTTACCAAGAAGAAAGAATGAATGCATCCCTGCAGTCAAGGACCGTATATAAGCCATAAATGTTACGAATTATATGTTAAGAATAACATATGTTAACATATGTTAAGAATAACACCAGTGTGTTATGTATTGCTAATATATTTTAAAACTCAGGATATTTAACTGCTGATTACCTGTTCCTGGTTTGGACACTGGACACTGTGGGTCTCATGAACCTGCAAGCCTGACAAACCACAAGTGTACAGTGTTTTTTAGTTTTTCATTTTGAAACCAAAAGAATAAAATCCATGTGGCCAGAAGGAAGATTCTGGTTTTGGAGTTTTACAATCTTTGAGGCAACTGATTTTTTTTCTATATTGTATTCAGCATAGAGCCAGTGCTCAATTATAGGTGTCCTTTTGTAGAAAATGGTGTATATTTTACAAATATTTTGATGCATACAAATACATTGTTGCAGAATGAAGCTGAACAGAAACACATTTTTGATTTTGAGTCCTTGTATTCTTTAAGTTGAGGTCATTGGAGTAATACATTGATACACCTGCTGCTGCCCCCTGGACAAGAATGAATTCAGTATTTTGTACTTTCAATATGAAGTAGTATTTTTCAAGCTTGTCTGTTGCTCACAGGATGGTAAGACAGTCCCTAATTGTGGCAAATGACAGCTTTAATGGTAACAGTTATTTTTGATGACAATAAAAAAATAAAAAAAGAGAGTGGAATAACATTAATGGAAAACTCTCCGATGTCCTGCAAAGAAAATAATCACAGGGATATCCCCAGGTGACTCTTCTCCCCCAGGCTTCCCCTCCAGTGTGGCAGGTGGTCCACCATAATACTTTCCCAATAATAACTATATCGTTTTCATCAGGACCTGCTCAAACTCCCTGCTGATTGTTCCTGTTTGTGATGCTCTTAGCACTGATTGGAGCACTCTTGCATCAAAGGCAAGAGTTGCCTGTTAATTGATTGTTAAGCTTTGTGCATGGATATCACTGGGAAATGCCTGTCCACTGTTTAAGGGACTGCTGTTTACGGTGTTATTCCCTAGGCTTTTCTTTTTCTTGTCTAAAAGTTAGCAAATGGGGGTAGGGAAGCATGAGGGTGAGAAGGATGATTTCTTGCATCAGTGTTAATCACTTCCGTGGGAAACCAGACATAGCAGCTTCAGGCTTTGCAGGTGCAGAACTGGGAGAAAAGGAGAAGGACAGAAGGACGCAGATGAAAACATTGCCACAGTGTCCTCCCAGTGCATAAGGGAAAGGGTGCAGAGTTGTGAACAAAGCACTGCAGTGCTACAGGGAGAGGCTCCAGATAGCAAGTGGAAGGCCCATAGCATAGGAGAAGTTAAGAAATGTGTGTCTCAATGTGCATCCTGATGAACCATTGCTCTGTACAGCTGTTAACTACTGTGAACTGTTCAGATTAAGAAGTGGATCACTAAATATTACGTGGTTGAATAAGTGTTCATTTCTAGTCCCTTTTACAACTTTCCTGAAGAGACAGTACTTTATTTTTTCTTCTTTTTTTTCTCTCCATTTTTGGCAAATAAGTCTGGTAGAGATAGAAATCTACTATGCTGTGAATTGTTTTCTGTAGCATCTTTTGTAAGGTGTTTTGTAAATTTGTGTCACTGCAAGAGAAATAACTTAAAAATAAGCTAACATGATAATTTCAGTGATTTAATATCTGATTGATACTATTTTTTACCAACAAGCCATGGATAAAAGGGGCAGTTCTACTGTCCTCCAGTAAGTTTTGATCTTAGGCTACTGGGGAAACTACAGCACAAATAGGACATGAAATAGTAGCTGCTGAGTCTGGCACCGGTTTCAGGGAGGGTGTGGTACTGCAGCAGCATAGCACCATTACTGCTGGTCCATCAAGGCCTGGGTGAGGTCTGAGCAGGAACTTAGACTCCAGAGCATTTTAGTCAATTATGTTTGCCATCAGGTTCTCTAGAGAGAGCCAGGATGGATGCTATAGTCAGGTGGGTCATCTGCCTCAGGCCCTGATAACCTGAAGATTCCCAGCCTGGGTTTGTCTTGGGGAAAATGAGATAAACAGGCTCCTGTGAGATGTTCACTTTCTTGTTTGCTTTTTCTCAGGCTGTACTGTTCAATCTCGTATTCCCAAGGCTTATGTGATTGCTGTAAAAAGCTGCCTGAAGCGTGAGGCAGTTGTTTAAGGATCCACATTTTGAAGTTGCTATTTTTGCTTAAATTGACGGAAAGCACCACTACATTAGCTAAAAAATTAAGTAAGTGTGAAAGCTGCCATCGTATCATTATTGTATTCTTAAAGTAAGGCTTTCTGCTAGTTGCTGGTGTTCTTCAGACAGGTAGCTCTCATTTATAGTAGAGTCATAGAATGGTTTGGGTTGGAAGGGACCTTAGAGCCCAACCAGTTCCAGCCCTGCTGCCACAGGCAGGGAAACCTGCTAGGCTAGGTTACTCAAAGACCTGTCGAGCCTGGCCTTGAACACTGCCAGGGATGGGGCAGCACAGCTTCTCTGGGCAGCTTGTGCCAGTGTCTAACCACCCTCACAGTAAAAGACTTCCTAATAGCTAATCTAAATCTACCCTCTTCTAGTTTAAAGCTCTTACCCTTTGTACATACTCCACCTGCTTTTCTTTTGTGTTTTCCTTTGACATAAGACTCAGAGGTGCTGCATTTAGTGCAGTTTTGGTGTAACAATGTTGGATTGTTGCTTTGTACTTGTTAAAATACCTGACAGAACAATGTGGATTTGTATTGCTTTGCTATAAAATGAAAATAGCAACATTCAATCATAGGTTTATTTGGGCTGGTTATTCTCAGATTGTTCATGAATCTGAACAATGCATTATTCTGAGTCGTAATCAAATGTGATTTAGTGGGATTTTACATATTGATTTAAAGTAACTTGGTTTAAATTTCATACAAGTTTTGATTGGAAAATAAAATAAACAGTAACTCTAATGGCAAGAGATCACAAATCTCTTGCAATCTATGAAAGAAGAAATATTTTGATGGGTCCCTTAAAGGGTTCTGTCTTCAGCTGAAATTTCTTCAGCATTTCCTGTCTTCTACATCTGTATTTTTATCATTAAGTTGTATTTTCTCTTTCTAATTCCAGCTGGATTGCTGGATGAAAAGATACTGCTGTTTTGGAAGCAAGATTGTTAGTATCCTAGCTAAAAGTGCCATTTTTAACGCTCACAAATCAAGACGGTCTAATCCATTATGAAGGAGCATACTTGAAATCCAACCTTGCTGAGGTCGTAATTCTCAAATGCACATTGATGTAGCTGTATGGTAACATTACTTTTCTGGATGTTGCATTTGCTTACGTTGTTAGAAGCGCGAAGGAAGGGTAGCATGCTTCCTTCAGGAAAGTCATGCTGCTACACCCCTTTACAGAGAAGTTGGTTCTAAAAGAACATTTAAGCTTTTTTTTGTGTCCCAGATTGCAAAGCCAATAATACAGTCCCAGGATTGCCCAAGGGAAATCTTTGAAAAAGAGTTGCCTGTCATTGTAGGAGCTGATGAATTTATAGTTTTGAACACTGTGTCCTGCTCCGTGATCAATCCTGCACAATGTCCCTGCTACTTCTGGTTGTTCTGAGACTTATGATAAAGTGTCTGTGAAGTACTAGAGCTATAATTTAAAAGTACTTTGTGGTTGCAGGTTATCTTCCAACTACAAACATCATCCCCTTCCTTGGTGTCCGGCCTCTTGGGTGTGACCTAAGCACTGTACACAGAGAGCTCAGAGGCACATCACACAGCACAGAATGAGTATGTTGGTTACGTTAGAGAAAGCACAGTCTGATGTGTGGGTAGATGTAAAATGTTCATTCCCCAGTGCTCAGGCTGCATGTGCCTTTGTACGTGTGGTCTGAGTGCAGCTGGTGGCCTGAAATGGCTCTGGTGCATAACATTCACATAATATTCTCTGTTGACCTAGTCAATAGAGTAAATGGAGCTTTAGATAGTGATTCCTCTTATGCTACAGTAGATGACCTGATAGGTTAACTGAATAATTCACTAGGGTCTAGTGACTGTGTTGGTTAGAGAGCAATACCTACTATTATTAATTTGAGTATGTAAAAGCAGTCTAACTTTGGCTGAGAGAAGTGCTTGATGGAGGTTTAGCCATCAACGTGGCTATCCCTGTATTGTATTTGTCTTTGTTCCATGTGGATGCAAGGAATCTCTCAAATGTTGCAAGGTACTTTTGTGTTGAATGGTGATTTTACAGTCAGAGATCAGCGGTTTCTTTTGCTTGGGTTTTCATTTCTAATCAGAAGGGATCAGAGCACTGAACTTTAGTCAGCCAGCAAAGAAAACTTGGTCAAAATCAATGTATTTCAGTGAAAAAGGTCAGCTTTATTGAAACAACTTACTGAACTAATTTTTGTGGCCGATGTTCTTAATAGTTCTTTGCTTCTTGTATGTTGAAAATTAGTGTGGTATTCCCCTATTTAATATTTTTAGCCAGTTGTATTTAGAGTGAGTGCTAAACAACTGCCCGTGTAAAGCAGGTCTGGAATGCTTGAGGTTGGGTCCTAGCTTGGCCCATGCTGGTCTTGGGGCAAATTACCTGCTTTATCTGCCCCTTGCTCTTGGCAAACAGTGAGAGGACCACCTCAAGCAACAGTTTTGAGAGACTTGGTTGAAATTGTGCACAGTGAATACTTGCAGTGATTTCCAGGCAGGTTGGTTGAATTTAAAGCTATATACTGCTGGCAGTTCCTGAGAACTTGGGGTGGGGAATTTTGTCTGTAATTACAGCATAGATTCAGGATTTTAAAAGCTGTAAATAAGTTACTACAAAAGCAGAGAGCAGAGAATTTGGCTGTTCTCTTTTACAAACAGCACACGCTTCTTGAGAGATTTCTTTGAACCGGCTCTCCACTTTTCCTGATGTGTAGTCTTTTGTGGGAAGCTTTGGGGTTATTTTCCTTTTAGAGCAAGCCAGAAACAGATGATACAGAATTCACCTCACATCTGTGTGAATAGTTCTTGTCTCTCTATTTGGCTGTCTGGAAGACTCTGGATAAATGGCATTTTACATTTCCTACTGAATGCAAAACCTTTTAAAGCTTTTGGTTAAAACTGAAAAAGAGTGAAGCCCTCCAAGGAAATCTTAATCCTCAGGATTTTCATCTTCACAGCTCTTTGCAAACATTAATTTCTTATATCTGAAGGCTTTGACCGACACAGCTCCCTCTGACAGCTGCAAAACTGCTGTTGCTTTGAACCAAGTGAATTTGTCTTCAGACCTGGGCACGTCCCCTGCCCCAACCCAGTGCTTGGGCTTTGGGTTCCTGAGAGTGCCCAGAAGGTCCTCTGGGATCCCAGCTCCATGACCACCACTGAGATCCCATTCACTTTAGCTGATCACATCCACTTGGAAGTGCTCCTTGTCCACAAACACTGTTTTAAATGATTTATGACTGCAAAGTCTTTTTAGTTTCTGTGTGAAGCTTCCAAATCGAA